CCCCCCCCCACCTCTGCCCTCAGAGCATTCCTCTTCGTGGACCCCGAGCTGGTGTCCCCGTCCGTGTGCAGCGCGCTGCTGCTGGAGCTCGAGGCGGCGCAGGCGCAGCAGACGCCCGAGGCCTGCATGCGCCACGTGGTCGCCCACGCCCTGCAGGCCGCCCTGGGGGACGCCTGCCACGCAGGCGCTCTGCAGAGGAAGCTGCAGGTAACCGCCCCGCCCCAGCCCTCCTTGGCTGCGCCCGGGGCCCTGCACGCACACGCCAGCTCTCCTCCGCGTCTGCTCTCCTTCTCCCCGGTTCAGACCACCCTTGCCCCCTCAATGCGGAAGGAGTACGCACTCATTAAGGAAAATCCGGGGCGGGAATGCACGCAGGCCGAAAGAGGAAAGAAAAATCGCTCACACCCGCCCACCCAGATGTATTCCCAATCAACGTTTTGGTCTATCTCCTTAATAATACAGACGACGATAACCCGGACAGGTGCTGTCGACTGAATGTCTGTGGTGTCCCAGGCACGGCGTTAGACACTTTTACACGTATCACATTTAAAAAAGGCTCACCACGTGTCAACAACATTGTGAAATGGGTATAATCATTAAAACTGGGGCACAGAGAGGTTGGTAACCTGCCCGTGGTCACACAGGTACAAAGTGACTGGGTCAGGATTTGAACCCAGATCTCTCCGACCTCAAACTTATGTTCCACCGCCTCCCGGCCCCACAGCCCCACCACCCTTTTTTAGCAGGAGATACCAAACTCTGCATACAGTTGTCCCGAATTAGGGTGAGAGGCCGGGCCTCGATACTCCCGCACCTATTAATTATTGGACGCGGACGGTCCTCAGGAAGGGACATGACCGTGGAGAGTGGCTTTTTTTTTTTTTTTTTTTTTTTTTTGCCGGAGGCTGACTATGGAAAGGGACTCAGCTGACAGCTGACGGTTGCTAATGCTCCCAGCAGCGGGGCTAACGAGTGCCTCAGTCTTGAAGGTGGGAATCCGGGGAGCCACCATGGCATTTATCACACTGTTGCACATGGAATCAAAGCCAAAGACATCTCAATGGCCTACAAGACCCTCGAGATCTGTCCCACCTCCTCGCTTCCTCTCTGATTCCATCTGATTCCAGATGATTCCAACTTCTGTAGTTTCCCTCTCTTCCTCTCTGCTCCAGCTACATAGGTCTCCCTATTGTCCCTCAAACATGCCAGGCATGCTTACACCTCAGGGCCTTTGCACATGCCATTTCCGATGCTTGGAACATTCTCTCAGATATCCACATGGCTCTCTCTCTCACTTCCTTTAGGACTTTACTCAAAAGTCACCTGTCGGTGAGACCTCCCTGATCACATTATCTAAAATGTCAGCCCCTGCCCCCAATTTCACATCCTTCTTCTCTGCAATTTATCGTACTATAAATTTTACTTCTCTTGTTTATTATCATTGGGGGGGGGTGGAAAGAGAGACATACACTATAATATAAACTCCCTGGGAACAGGAATTTTTATCCGTTTTGTTCACAGCTGTATCCCAGCATCTAGAACAGGGTCTGGCATGTCGTGGGTGCTCAATAAATATTAGTGTATTTATAAATTAAGCAACGAGATGAAATGGACCCGATGGCCCCTTCTAACTCTGATTCGGTCATCTTCTCGTTGCATTATCTGTTCGCTCCACAAGTGTTTATCGGGGCCCTAGCCACCCAGAATGACCCTCCCTCCCTTAATCAGGAAGTTAGGATCCCGCTCAGCAGACCCCCCCCAGCACAGACCAGAGAGGAAAACAAGCCCTGGTGTGCAGACAACATAATGCAGGGCTCTTCTCAGGGTTTCAGATCTGCACCACGGGAGGGGGGGGGGCTGGAGAGCATGGGATTGCCCAGCGAGAAGCTTTCAAAACCTGTTCCCATCCATTCCCATTAAGGAGAAAGGCTCAGCTTGGTGTTCTACCCCTAACTTCTTTAACAGTCCCTTCCCTTTTTCTTGTTTTTAAGTTTATTTATTTTTGAGAGGGAGAAAGAGACAGAGTGTGAGCAGGGGAGGGGCAGAAAGAGAGGGAGACACAGAAGTGGAAGCAGGCTCCAGGCTCTGAGCTGTCAGCACA